CGTACGTACGTACATATGCATGTGTGTGTATATATATATATATATACAGAGCTGTAAATATAAGATCAAATAAGTTAGGATAGGCTAAGCTGCTATAAGACAAGTTAAACCACGATAGTTAAGATAACAAAAGATGAGATGAGATGAGATGAGATGAGATGAGATAAGAAAGATAGGATAAGATGAGATGAGATGTGATAAGATAAGAAAGGATAAGATAGGATAAGATAAGGTATTATAAGGTAAGATAAGATAACATAACATAACATAACATAAGATAACATATCAGAAGATAAGATAACATAAGATGAGATAAGATAAGATAATTTACTGCAAATGAAGGTTGTATGTGTATAGAGATAAAAATGTATTATATTTATTTATGTTATTATTGTTATTGTTATTGCTATTGGACTATACTATATTGTACGATACTACATGAAATTACATCATTTCATACCTTATATAGTATATAGTATAGTAAAGCCCTATTTATGTAAATTTATATACAAATGATGTATGATACAATAAGCAAAACATGCGTGTGTGTTGTATATATATATATATATAAATACATATGTGCTTTGTCCCCATGCAAATGTTGCGAAAACAGAAGAGAAATAATGCTTAATGTGTAGCTTTGCAGATACGTTGGGATGCGTCTGCCGACACACTGCACATGCGGGCAACTTTGGTTTGGGCCAGCGGAGGAAGTTTGTTTTTGCTGCCTCAAATGCGGACATTCCCATCTATGTGGCAGAAGTTATTCCAGAGCCACAGGCATCATGGCTACTGGAGAACCAGGAGCCAGGACAACATCCGTGTCAGGACATGGATGCTGTAGCCCTCCTTGCTAGTACCACAGGTGGCATCGTCGGATCGTGTCGCTGCTCCGGGGTTTGGTGTTTCAGGCCTTCGTTTTGCGAGTTTCTGAATGCTTGTGACGTCGTGGCTCGAAGGTGTCAGGGTCCAAAGGTTTAGGGTTTAAGATATCTTGGAGCTTGCGCAGATTCTTTTCGAATCACAGCTTAAGCTTTAATCACGATTTTTTAGTGGAAAAACCACGTCAAGAAGCTCGTCCGGGACTCTGAAACCGTTAGAACACTGGGAATTTGGGCGGCAAACGGGCGACCCGAGCTGCTGTGTTTCCAAGGCTTTCGTCAGCCAAGCCCTGAAACTGCACATTTATGGCTATTTAGTTATGACATTAATTTATCATTACGGACCATCCCAACCCCTAAACCCTAAGCATCAGTCAAAGCCCGAAACCAAAGCCACAGACACCGAATCGTGGTCAACCATCGCCTTGCTGGCATCCACCAGGCGCACCACGGTTTCTGGCAGGGCCTACGGCGAGAAACAGTTGGGGGTTTGGGAGGGGGGGGGCGATGCTTTTGACGGACAGTCCTTGCAATCCTGCGGGTTTAGGGGTTTAGGGGGTTAGGGGTTTAGGGTTTAGGACTTCGGGGAGAAAAGACGTCGGATTCGGAACCAGGCTGCCACGAAGTCAGATGACCGAAGTCCAACTCGAGTCCGAATGCCCAAAGGTTTAGAAGTGATGCAACTTGGCGAAGACGTGTGCAGAAGAAAAAACTCCGTGCCTGCTATCATACGGCCTCATTAAGGAGGAAATATACCCCTAAACAGTACCAGGATCCTCAGTATGCTATGAAACACATTCAGGTACATTCCCTACTTAAGGGCTCAGTATTATTATGAGTATTACTACTATTACTGCCACTGCTATTACTTCTACTATTGTTAGTACTGCTACTGTTATTACTAGTATAACTATTATCATTGTTATAACTAAAACTATTTCCAATATTATATAATATTATAATTGCTGTCGTTATAATTCTTATTTCTCTTACTATTACTATTGCAATTTCTTTCTTATTATTCTTGTATGAGCCCATCATCGCCTGGCCCCTGAGGCCCTTGAGCTCCGGCCCAGCGCCCGTGGTGTCGACCGGGGGGGGCGGCTTGCCCTGCAGGTGTCAGAAGCGAGGGGAGTCAGGCTTTAGGGTTTTAGGGTTTTTGGGTTTAGGGTTCGGGGTTTAGGGTTTAGGGTTTAGGATTTAAGGTTCCGGTGGGTCTTAGCAGGCAATGGGGGATTGGGAGGGAAGGAAAGGACACTCGGGACCTACGCCTTGATTGTCCCACCGCCTGATAACCGCTAGTTTCCTGCATCTCAGCATGCAGTCGACTTTCCTGTTCAAGCAAAGTGGATAAGAAGCTGGCCCAAAGGAGGATGTGGGCCGTTGCATTACAGACACTCAAGGACTTCTTGTATTACAGGTATACACAACTCTAAACCCTGAACCTAAATCCTAAACTCTAAACCGTAACATAACTGCCTTCTTTTTGTCCTTGGGATTGGAAGCCGCCAGCTGGTTCGCCGCCTGTCCGGGTCGCCAAGTCATAGAAAGCTGCTTATGATTGCCTAAACCATGAACCCTTAAGCACCAAGGGTTTAGGGTTCACCATACCCTAAACTTTAAATAGCATACCCTAAATCGTAAACAACCGTGCGTCCTTGTGATCCTGAACCCTGGATGCTTACTTTGGCCCCTTGCTTGCTGCTCGGCCGCAGCATCAGAAGAAGTGTACTGCACATTGTGACGACTGAAGCAGGAAGACACAATGTAGTGTAGGGCTTCGCAAGACGTGTAGAGTAGGGAACTCTTAGCACTGAGCCTTAAACCCCAAGCCCTAAACCCCAAACACTGTGTGCAGTGCTCTTCAGATGCGCTCCCTCCGAGAGCCTCTTCCTTCAGAAGCTCCGCTACAGCCAGGTATGACTCCTCCGGCAGGACTCTTCACGCATGCACGCACGCATGCACGCACGCACGCACGCACGCACACACACACACACATCTATTTCTCTCAGTCTCCATCTCTCGCTCGCTCTTGCTGTCTCTCTCTCTCTCTCTTTCCGTGTTTGGGGTGAGGGGCGGGGGTG